GCCTAAAGATATAGTTTTAGTGTCAGAATATGACTAGATGATTTGAAAATCTATGCTCAATCTAATTAAAAAATTTAACATTTCAATAACCTTGTAGATCGAGCAGATATATAAACACTTGAAAATCTTGAAGATAGATGGTTGAGATAACTTGTTACAAGATACATTATTTTAGGATTCAAAATTCCCAAGTTTTTAATATTTGTACGTCTTGAGGTCTAAATAATCATTTAGAAAGTTTTCCGACTTCAGAACACTCCTTTCTACTATATTTTTTAGGGAAAGGTTTCTATGCTTCCAAAGTATTTTATTTTTTAAAGTATTTTATTTTTAGTTTTTTTTATACAAATTGTATGAATATGAAATTTGGTACGTGCCATCTTTTCATTGGGGCGTACCTATAAAAATATTAAAAATAATTTTTTGATAAAATATAATGACCAAAATACCCCTTAAAATTTTCAAAGTTATTTTGGTCATTTTATTTTATTGGAAATACTTTTTTTATATTTTTCGCTAGTGCGAATTTAATAGAGGAATAGACGTCCAAAATTTAGTGTCAAAATAGTTTATAGAAAAAAATAAAAATAAAATAGTATAGAGACGTGACATTGTGATTGGGACAATCTTAGCCTTCCATTCAGAATGGACTGTTGGATAAGAGGGAGGATAGAACTTCTATGATGTAGAGGACCAATAGAGAGCTTGCCCTATTTTTTAGGTGTAACTTATTAGGTGTAACTTACTTTTGTCGTATAAGGTTGCAACCTTATATAAACTTCTTCCGTATTTACAAGCTTGTTGTATGCTTACAAAGGGAGGCTAATGTTCTCATGAACAGAATATTTGAAATATGTTTTGACAATTTTTATTTTATCAAATATATTTCCCTCCTTCCAATTGGCCTAAACACGGAGGCACTTCGGTTTCTTGGCTACAAATGAAGAGGCCTCTAAAGCGAATATGACTACACTAGTCCGTTAAGTTCTAGAGGTTACTTCCTCAAAATTTAGAGTCTTTAAGACTCCTAGCTTGGCTTCTGCCCAAGAGAGTTGGAAGGTATGCTCCTACGAGAACAGAGACCATTTCACATAACTAAGAAGGCTATATTCGGAACTTTTGTCAATCTCATAAATTTGGGATTCACCAAAAAATCACAAGGTTATGCTTTGAAAAAATAAAAAGTCGGAATTTGTTCTCCTCCAACCTCAAGAAAAAGAAAAGGAAACAAAAAGAAAAAATCAGATCTCACACTCTGTGGTCCCAAAAAGAATAATGCCTCAAGACTGAACACAGGCTGTCTAATTTTTTGAGGGCAAGACCTAAGTGCTGAAGTACTCAAGATTTGATTTCCCTATTTTGAAATAATTATCTAGTGATTCTTAATACCCCATAAGATCTCCCAAACAAACGTTTTCTCCAAGGGGAATAGATAATATGCTCCCACTCAGGACTATAGTATTAGTGAAAATTACCGCTGATAATATGAAACTACTGGATTTTTCTCATGACAATTTTGGAAGGCGATATTATGCATGGAATGATCTTGATGCCAAGAAATTATCATGATAATTAATAGCTTATCGATAATATCCCACTAATTAATCTTCCGAATAATATCGGGTTTAATTTAAATTGTGAACTTGAACAAAAAATGGACCAACGAATGACTAATAACTAATGGGAAAAGTTTATATAGAGCGGAGGCTCTAGACAATCAAATTAGAGCCTACATCAAAAATTTCACTAAAAGAGGTGGTTTTGATGCCCAAATATTCTCAAATTGATCATCTCAACATCAAGATGCATGAACATGAGAAAAAAATAGATTTCAAGTTTTGAAAATAGTACATCTTCTAACATATTTTTGGACCATCAATTTTTAAGATTTCCAAGTTTTCATAGATCTGTTCGATCTATACTATTTTTTAAGCTTGAAATTTTATAATTAAAGATAAAAATATATTTTATGGCTATCACAAAGATTTCCAATATTAAAACGACATTTCTTAACACTATTTAAAGGTGCGATTTATTTTTATTGTTTAGAGCCTCGGCTCTATACAAACTGCATCCATAACCAATTGCTTGTTGCTATGTAAAAAGGATTGCATGGGCGTTTTGTTTTTTGTTTTGTTTTTGTTTTTGTAATGAGCGTGAAACTAGAAGGAATATTTTAGAGGGAAAATATCATTAAAGGAGATGCAACCCCTTACAATATTACTAAAGGACTTAAATTATCTCTATTAATATTTGATGGAATTATTTTTTTCTTTTTCATTCAATTAAATACCACCTAAAAAATTTAAAATATCCAACTTACCTTTGTATGGTATATGAAATGCATAATAATCATTGACATTTTTGTAATTTGGCCCTAAGAAGTTTTAACAAAGTGATGAAAATACCTCTAGTTGTTTTATCTTACAAATAAAAAACACATTGTTCAATATTATAAGGAAAATTGTTTCATGGGGGCTGGGCCCCATTTTTACATGTGCGGTCCAGAAAGTGTAAAGCATCCTTCTAAAAGATGGATGCAAGTAGGTGTTCCATCTGAAAACAATGGAAACTAACGATCCAAATGTTTCTTATTAGAATTGTTATTTCTAGTTTTTAAAATTTATTTATTTATTCATATTCATGATCTTCAAGTTAGAGATTATAAGTTCTTAAAAATTAAGTCCTAAAATCCATCTCAAAAATAGAATTAAGAGGCCCGCATATCTACATATGCGGGTTTGGCCGCATAGAAACCGAGTCCATATTATAATACAGAACAACTAGGGATACTTTTATCATTTGCACTTAAATGCTTTCATGTATTAAATTGTGAAAATATTCCTTGTTGTTATGCATTACTAATACTGAATAGTATGTTCTTATTTATGATGCAAAGGATTTGGGGGTATTTTCATCATTTTGAGTGAGGCCTTTTTGGGGGGTCAAATTATTAGAATTCTCTTTAGTGGGCTACCCGAGGATTTATAAATTTTAGGAGGAGGTATCTAAGTGAAATGAAAATAGAATAGTATTCCATCAAATGTTAAAAGGATCAATTTGAAAGTCTTTAATAATTTTTAAAGGGCGTCATCTCGTTTACTAATATTTTTCAGGGAAAGGTTTCTATACTTCCCCTACAACATAGAAGAACTATCCTCTCCCTACCATCCAGCCATCCAATTTTGATTAAGAGAGCCACTCACCATTTGATCTTAGATCCGATGTCTCAAAGTATTTTATTTTTAGCTTTTTTATATACAAATTGTATGATTATGAAATTTGTTACGTGCCATCTTCTCATTGGGGTGCACCTATAAAAAATATTAAAAATAATTTTTCGATAAAATATAATGATTAAAATACCCCTTGAAACATTCAAAGATATTTTGGTCATTTTATTTTATTGAAAATATTTTTTTGTACATTTTTTGCTAGTCCAAGTTTAATAGAGGATTAGACATCCAAAATTGGGTGCCAAAATACTTTATAAAAAAAATTAAAAATAAAATAATGTAGAGACGTGACATTGTGAAATTTAAATATTAGTTAATAAATGAAGTTTTCCTATTCATTGAAGAATTGATTGTTTGCTTTCATTTCTATGAACAATGCTGTTCGACTTAGAAACCAAACCGGAAACGATAGGTAGCCTATCTGATTTTATCCTAAAATCGGAACTCAGTTAAATAGACGTGAAAATTTTATTAAAAAATGTTGTTTTATGTGCATAAAACTACAAATTTAAGAATGACTTAAGACCCCTAAACTCTATTTAAATATTTTAAATGTTTTATAATTTGTTTACATTTTTTTTTTACGTTGGTTGAGTCGGCCAAGCCAAGTTATACTAAGCCGGTTGGACTCAGAATATGTGGGTGACTGGTTCAGCCCACTGGTCAATTTTTATAGCATCTGTATGATCACATTATCAAACTCAGTCTTAAACATAAGTATATTTGAATATTGGGGAGTAATTTTATGCAACGGTTGTATAGTAATATAATGTAACAATATTTAAAAATCATGTTAGGGCCATTTGTTTGATCCAAATTTTACAATTTACACTCTTTTCATTCTAATGAACAATCACAGAAAAGAAAATTTTGAAAAAGCAACCTAAAAAGTATTTTTTTAACCAAATTAACATAGACCATCCATTTTGGTGAGATGCTTAGATCTAGGACTTAGAATGATCCTTTTTCTTTCCAAATTTTTTAGATAACTTTATTATCATTAGATTAACAATATTAAAAAAAAGAAATAATGATTTTCAATTCATAAAGGCCTACATCTTGAAATTTTTATTGAGAAGAAAAAAGTGTGTCTGCAAATTGGGTCATATAAATACCACAAACATGATTTTCTTGAAGCGTGGTTGCATTATACTATGATACAACCCCTGCATTAGATCATTTCCCATATTTGATGTAATAGATACTATTATAAAATTTATTTATTGTAATAGATCAACTATTTAATATTTTGCTTATAATTTTGATTTCAATATACCCATCAAAATACACAAGACCATTGTTTAATTGGTGATAAGGTTAATGTATTTTAATACATTTTCCAAATATTTATGTCAATTTTTTTTGTAAATTTATGTATATACTATTTTCTCTGGGAACATTAATTCGTAATAAATAATATATGATTAATAAGTGAAATTCACAACTAACTCCCCATAAATTTTTTTTTTAAAAACAAGCATATAAAAAGAATATTGTGAGAGAACACTAAGCTTTTCTTCCAAGTGTAGGGAAACGAAGAATACTAGGTTACCTTATTCCTTTTAAGGGGAGAGAGCCAGAGCGAGAAAAAGAGGTGGTTAATTTTTTCTTAATTCATTGAACCCTACTCATTAAGTAAGACAGCCTTTTTCAGCCAGCTAAATGAAAATCTCTGCCAGTTTTCATCTATAAATATGAATTAAAATTGGGATGGAGGAGGTGAGAGAGAGGGAGAGAGAGATGGTGAAGGCTATTTTCATAGCAATGGCAATGGCCATTGTGTTTGATAAGTGTGTGGTAGGTGATGTTTGGCATTCAGCACATGCCACCTTCTATGGAGGATCTAGTGGAAGTGGAACAATGCGTGAGTATTCATGTTCATCGTATGAACTAGAGATTATTTTCATCTATTGTTGTTCTTTATTTATTGTTTTTTTTTCCTATTAACAAATAGCTTTGTTAATTAGATCAGTTTGATGTACAAGCTTGTTTTCTTATACAAAAACTGTCATGGAGGGCTCTACTTTTTCTGTTGTTAGAACATGTATAATGTACTCTTAAAGAAGCAAATTGTACAGTTTTTTTTTTCTTCTTTTTTCTTTGTTTTTTGTAGGTAAGTAATTGTACAGTTATTCTCTCTAGTAAAAGAGCTACTTCTTTTTTTTCTTTTTCTTTTTTTTCTTTATTTTTGAGATAGAATTTTGAGATTCACTACCCGATGAGTACTTTTAAGAAATAGAATATATATATTTCAGTTCCTATACACTTAAGGTACGAGTGTTTATTGATTTAAACATTGTCATCTTGACAAGGAGAATTATTCAAGGGGTTGTATAAGATTAGACCATTTATTTTTAGTGTGTGCTTTGCATAAGGTTCCAACCTTACAAAATTCAAATAAGGTGCACCTCCAAAATTTATCATAAGATGTAATTTTGCTGTAAAAAATTGTTAGGATTATATAAAACTATATTTTCATATCTAATTATAAAATTTTAAACTCCAAAAATAGTTAAAATCAAGTAGATCTATAAACATATAAAAATATTGAAAATGGATGGTCTACAAAATGTGATGCAAGATACACTATTTATGGGTCTCAATACATTTTTTTTTTTTTTTTTTTTTTCATATTCATACACTTGAATGTCGAGATGATCAATTAGAGGGGTTTTCAACATCTAAACAACATTTTCCTATGGACTTTCAAGATGTATCTTTAATTCTATATTTTAAGGTTGCAACCTTATATAAACTTTTTTCTTATTTTTAAGACAAAGAGGTCACAATCACTTTTAGCCATTGGATGTGAAATCCAATAGATGAAAGTGTGTCCCAACATTCTATAAATTTTATTTTGGAGCCCAAATAATGACACATCCTTAACCACCCGATTTCAAATCTAATAGTCAATAATGATTGTGACATCCTTGTTTCAAAAGTAAATGATCACATACATTTTCATATCGCAAATCATACTTAATGTTGAAATATTTAACTTCTCATTTCATTCTTCAGTTCCTAATTGTAAATAGCCCATCATTCTTTTTAGGGAAATGTTTATATAGAGTCAAAGCTCCAAACCATGAAATTAGAGCCTACCTCAAAAAGTTCATTAGAAGAGGTTGTTTTGATGTTCAAATATCCTCAAGTTGATTATCTCAACATCAAGATGGATGGATATGAGAAAAAAATGGATTTCAGTTTTTGAAATAGTATATTTTGTAACATAATTTTGGACCGCCAATTTTCAAGATTTTCAAGTTTTTATAGATCTATTGATCTACACTATTTTTAAAGCTTTAAACTTTATAAATAAAGATGAAAATATATTTTAAGGCTATCACAATGATTTTCACTATTGAAACCACATTTCTCGACACTATTTGAAGGTAGGCTTTAATTTGATTGTTTAGAGCCTAGGCTCTATACAAACCTCACCCTTTCTTTTTATCAAATTTCAAAAGTAACTCAACAAAGGACACAATCATTATGGTTCATAAGTTGTTAGAAATTATTGGATCAGTGAAATGTTAAATAGTTCATCTCTAAGGTGTGATTTGATAAATTTCTGAAACCCTTGAGAACATAAGGATATACCTTTGGAAGAAGTTTATATAAGGTTGCAACCTTAAAATGTAGAATTACATATGCACCTCAAAAATCCATTGGAAAAGGTGGTTTTAATGCTGAAAAACCCTCTAATTGATAATCTCGACATCGAGATGTATAAATATGAAAAAAAAAAAAAAATATTTTGAGTCTAAAAAATAATGCATCTTGCTAGACTGTCCATTTTCAAGAGTTGCTTATGTTTATAGATCTACTTGATTTTAACAATTTTTGAAGTTAAAAATTTTATAATTAGATACGAAAATAGAATTTAAGATAATCTTAAAAAAAATTTACACCAAAATTATATGCTATGATAGGATTTGGAGTGCGCCTTAATTGGATTCTTTCGGGTTACAAACTTATAGAAACCACACCCTATACCTTTTAATCTGAAAATATATGTCATCTTTAATGACCAGAATTCTCATACTCTCCATTTGAGAGACCATAAACCTAGGGTCTTAACTTTTACTTTTTACTAGCTTAAAAACTTTCATGTAAGATATTCACGAGGCAAATCAAAGCTGACCTGAAAAATCTTAAAGAAAATTTTTCGCTTAATTATGTTATTGGCGGTGGACCACCTTATTTGGTGTTCTTCCTGGACAACAAAATCTTTTTCCCTTCATTTACTTTAACAAACTATGTCGACCTGGCAAGAAAACAAGAAAAAAAATGTTAGCTTGTTTAACATGAGTTGTTCAAAGCAACGTCATCAAATTATCTTCACTCTCAGCTGAAATGGTTGAAGTCCTTGGATTTTCACTTTAGACCGAAGCGAAGCAAAGCAAAGCTTTGGTGTATCTATTTCTGCCCGCTTCGATCTTATTGACCTCTTCGATCGAAGCATAGAATTATTATTTTTAATATGTTTTTATATAAATATATTTATTAAAATTTTTAAAAAAATTCTTAAATATTCCTCCAAATAGGCCGGAGCACTGAATTGTTTTGTTTTCTTACAAAATAGAAGAGGGTCCATAGACTTTGTTATTTCAAGAGAGATCACTCTAGTTTCCTTGTCAAACTTTAATTTGACTACTTAGCATTGGACAATAAAATCATAGTTCAAAAACTAAGCTTCATGGTGCACCACCAAAGTGACAACCAATCCATGGTGGTCATTCCATTGAGCCCTATAATAAAAGGAAAATATATAACTAGATCATTTACCTTTAGTACAAGGTGGTCAAAATTAATTTTGACTATTAAATATGAAATTAGATTACCGCATTTATTCTATTGACCAATCTCAAAGTTCAAAATAAAATTTTTCGAACTTAATAACATACCCAAGCTATCAGATTTCACATCGGATGGTTACTTATGACTTCCTAGTACCAGAGGTAAATGACCTCATTGTACACAGTCCCAATATAAATCTCCATCCACCCATTAATGAAATGGTCGATGATTGCATCCCTAGAGTACCATTATATACCATAGTCTGTTGGACTATGGTGAAGTTTCCTTTTATATAGTTTGACAATTACCTCCGGTTGTCCTCTGGCTGTGTTTGTGTTTGCTTTTCATTACTAGTGCTCTAATACTGTGGATCTTAAGGCATAGCCAATATCTCTCTCTCTCTCTCTCTCTCTCACCTCAAATTGTTTTTGTTGCAGAGGGTGCTTGTGGCTATGGTGACCTTGTTAAGGAAGGCTATGGCATGAACAATGTGGCGCTCAGCACTGCCCTGTTCAACAATGGCCTCACCTGCGGTGCTTGCTACGAGATCCAGTGCGACTCACAACAGGACCCAAAGTGGTGCCATCCCGGCTCTATCATTGTCACTGCAACCAATTTTTGCCCTCCGAACCCTGCCCTCCCTTCTGACAAGGGGGGTTGGTGTAACCCGCCTCGTGAGCACTTCGATCTCTCCATGCCTGCATTCCTCAGGATAGGAGAGTATATAGCAGGCATCATCCCTGTGAGCTATAGACGTGTTCCCTGCACGAAACAAGGGGGAATCCGGTTCGAGATCAGTGGATTCAAATATTGGACACATGTTCTAGTATATAATGTAGGTGGAGCTGGGGATGTTAGGGAGGTCGCGATCAAGGGCTCGAGAGCGAGCAACTGGGAGCCCATGCAAAGGAATTGGGGCCAAATTTGGCAGACCGGGAACGACTACTCTGGACAGAGCCTGTCGTTTCGAGTGACAACAAGTGATGGAAGAACTGTGAATTCGATCGATGCGGTGCCGGTGAATTGGCAATATGGGCAGACCTTTGAGGGGAAACAATTTTCTTAGGAGATGTACTTGGGGGCTCTAGGGAGTTCATAGTGGCACACTTTAACTTTCTTAGACCCTAGAGAATTATTACTTAAAGTTTCTACTTGAAAGCAAAGGTGGTTTCCCTTATGTATGCCCACCTTATCCCTTAAAACCTTAATAAATTTGAGATTAAAGTCTTTTGTTCTTGTCATCTATGATAGCTTATTTCTTTTTTTTATTTTTGGCCCTAATTCGGTGTCATCAGGTCGTGTTAGACTATGGAACTTTTAATAAAGAAATTTAAATGATTTATTTAAAGGGATTATATAAAATGAGACCATTTACTTTTTATATAGGGTGGTCACAATTATATACAACCATGTGATGTGAAATATGAAAGCTTAGGTATATCACAAAGTTAGAGAATTTTTTTTTTGAAGTTTAAGCTTAGTCAATGGAATAAATGCAGCCATCTAATTTCACATCCATTGGTCAAGATTAATTATGACCACCTTGTACCAAAAATAAATTGTCTTATTGTATACTTTTCCTTATTTAAAGACTAGACAACTAGGACCTAATAGCGTGCAAATTGATTGAACCTGGACCTCACATCCTTTAATCAATGGTTATCTTTAAATAAAATTTTTTTAGGGCATTTGTAGAAGGTTGCAGTTTGTATAGAGCCTAGGCTCCAAACAATCAAATTAGAGCCTACCTTCAAATAGAGTCGAGAAATGTGGTTTCAATATTGGAAATCTTTGGGATAGTTTTAAAATATATTTTCATATTTATTTATAAATTTTAACGTTTAAAAAATAATGTAGATCAACATATCTATGAAAACTCAAAAATTTTGAAGATTTATGGTCCAAAAATGCGTTACATAATATGCTATTTTAAAAGCTTGCAATCCATTTTTTTTCTCATGTCCATGCGTCTTGATGTCAAGATTATCATTTTGAAGATATTTGGACAACCAAACAACCTGTTCCAGTAAAAATTTTGAGGTAGGCTCAAATTTAATTGTTTAGAGCCTCGGCTCTATATAAACTTTCCCTTTGTTCTATAATGGTCCTCTCTTAACTATAAGATTTGAAGGTCCACTTATTCATACTGAGAATCAATTGGGATCGAACTAGTACATCTTGTTATATAATATTTGGACGGTAGTTGTTAGTTTGGATATAGTCTTGGGTTTTAAATAATTTAATAGTGCACTTTTAAAACTACTTCTTGGATTCATTGGTAGCTCATACCGTTTAGCTCCAATGTATCCTAGGATCGAGTGAGAGAGAAAGAGTTGTGTATAGAGGGAGAGAGAGCAAGTTGCATAGAGGTATTATTCAAGGGAGAGGGAGTGAGAGAGAGTTGCATAGAGGTATTTATTAAAGGGAAAGGTTTCTATGCTTCCCCTACATCGACCCATCCAATTTTGATCAAGAGTGATCAAGAGAGAGCCACTCACCGTATGATTTTAGATCCGTGATCAAGAGAGAGCCACTCACCGTATGATCTTAGATCCGACGTCTCAAAGTATTTTATTTTTAATTTTTTTAATACAAATTGTATGAATATGAAATTTGGTTCGTCCATCTTCAATCAAGAGAGCCACTCACCATATGATCTTAGATCTGACGTCTCAAAGTATTTTATTTTTAATTTTTTTAAAAGAAATTGTATGAATATGGAATTTGATACGTCCATCTTCTCATTAGAACGCACTTATAAATATTAAAAATAATTTTTTGATAAAATATAATGACCAAAATATCCTTTGAAATTTTTAGGGGTATTTTGGTCATTTATTTTATTGAAAATATTTTTTTATATCTTTCACTAGTGCGAGTTAAATAGAGGAATGGACGTCCAAAATTTGGTATCAAAATAATTTATAGAAAAAAAATTTAAAATAAACTAATGTAAATATGTGACATTGTGATTGGGGCAATCTTAACCCTCCATTCAAAATGGATGGTTAGATAAGGTAGATGATAGAACTTCTTTACTGTACACGGAGCATACAAAGCTTACCCATTTGGTTTAATTTTTTGAAATTTCGAATTAGAAAACCTCAAAGAGAAAAAGTACAAGTTGCATAGAAAAATTTTCTAATTAGAAAAAGAGAATTGTATTAACTTCCATCTGGACTTTGCTTTAAAATGGGCAAGCTTTCTACTCTCTCTCTCTCTCTAATTAGAAGTTCTAAAGGAAAAGGTTTCTATGCTTCCCCTACCATCTAGCCGTCTAATTTTGATCAAGAGAGTCACTCGTAGGATCTTAGATCCCATGTCTCAAAGTATTTAATTTTTAATTTTTTTAATATAAATTGTATGAATATGAAATTTGGTACATCCATCTTTGATCAAGAGAGCCACTCACCATATGATCTTAGATCCGACGTCTCAAAGTATTTTATTTTTAATTTTTTCTTAATACAAATTGTATGAATATGAAATTTGGTACATCCATCTTCTCATTAGGACGCACCTATAAAAAATATTAAAAATAAGTTTTCGATAAAATATAATGACCAAAATTAAATTTTGAGGGGTATTTTGGTCAATTTTTTATTGAAAATATTTTTTTTATATTTTTCACTAGTGTGAGTTAAATAGAGGAATGGACATCCAAAATTTCGTATCAAAATAGTTTATAGAAAAAAAATTAAAAATAAAATAGTGTAAATACGTGACATTGTGATTGAGACAATCTTAGCCCTCCATTTAGAATGGACGGTTAGATAAGGTAGAGGATAGAACTTCTATACTGTAGGGGTGTATAGAAAGCTTATGCATTTGGTTTAATCCAATGGTTTAAAAAATGGATCGGTGACCCGGATCGAGCTTCCAAAAAACCGATACGGATCGGCGAATCGGCGATCCGGATCGGGAATCAGGTGAATCGGTCAGAATAAAGCTTAAAAAAATCCGAAAAAATTATTAAAATTCATTATAAATATTTTTTTTTAGGAATTCAATAAGAAATGAGGGTACACCATTAAGAATTTTCATGTTTTTGAATGAATATGCGAATATTGATATGTTCTTTCCCTGCATGAACCGTCATTCAGCATTTAATTTACATCACACAAAATGATAAACATAGAATTATCATGGAATAAGTATATCAACATATATGGACTACAATAAAGCATAAAATTAGTAACATATGATCTAAAAAAAAAAAGATAGACGACGTTATTGTTCTTCTTGGTCACGCTGGTGCCATTGATTGAATTCGTTTAAATATTCATTGATGCGATCTAAAAATGAATCATGGATATTAGC